ATGACCCGGACGAGTCAGCAGAACGGGCGAGGATCCGCATGGCAGGCTGTCCAGCCGTAAACCAACACCGCGAGTGCGAGCGCAGGCACAGAAGACTCGAGTGCGGGAGCTATCCGCGCGGCGCGGGAAAGGATTTTCGCGTCCACGCTGCGAGCGCGGATTTGGCAAAGTCTGTGCGCGGACTCGCGCCGTTTACCTGGTTCTGGGAGTCGCAGTGCGCGATTTTCGCGTCCGAATGCGTGCGGGTCGTCTGCTGAGCCTCTCGAGCGCGCGTGTTTTGCCTTTTCGCTGCCAAACGGGTGTATATTATTGCATTGGGTGCTACGATACAATTCCCGGCCGTTCGACACGGCCGTGCGGTGCTTACAGAAGTCCTCAGTTGCCCCCGTCTCCCACTGTCCTCCTAAGCCCCCGTGTAGTCTACGAAGACCCGCTGTAGTGTACCAAGTCCCCCTGTAGTGTACCAAGTCCCCCTGTAGTCTACGAAAGCCTCCCTGTAGTACCAGAGTCAGTAATTCCTGTTGCAGGTACTCACCTCGCGTCCCGCATCCACGTGCACTCCGGGCCGCGCACGAGATGATGCCGCCCGCGCCGGCTTGTGCGGCACAAGGTGAGCGAAACCCTTGTAGAGGTGAGGACGAGGACTTACAGGACTGCAGGCACGCGTCCGCGATAGGCTTGAGCACCCACCTGCGCATGAAGCGCACATGCCATAGGTGCTCCTTGCGCTTCGGGAACCACGACAGCGGGAACAGGACCGGGGCCTGCCCAGATAGTTGCAGGATGTGGAAGCACACCTTCGGCCACACGCTGTGCTTGAACAGCGACAGCTCGTGGCGGCACTTGTGGATGTGCTCGTATATCGCGCGCACGGAGGCGTCTGCACTGGGATTGGGCGAGGGATGGAGGTAGACGTTCGAGCCCGTGGAGAGGTTGCGCATCGACCAGTCGCCGGGCGCGCGGATGCTGATCGGGCTGGATCAAACGTTCAGTATGACGCCGCAGGAAAACAGAGCGTGAACGCACATGAAGAACGGTACCGGAGATGGTAGAACCTTGTTGACCGAACGCTTGATTTTGCCCCAGGTGCTACGTGGAGCGGGCTTGGCCTCGATCTCGGCCGCGAGGACGTCGACCATGATCGAGCATACAACGTCGTTGAGCGTGACGTGCTTTGTCTTGCTCCGCACGTTCTTTCGCTGGTCTTTTGGCACGCCCGCGACAGCCGCGCCCGGCCGCCGCCCGGAGAACGCTTGTTGGCAGAGCTTGACGTCCTGCATGCTGAACACCTGCGAGCTAGAGGCCTCGCGGTCCTCAGTGCGCTTGCCCGGCTGCTCGTCGACGACCATCTCGATGCGCCAAAATGTAAACAGGAAGAAGGCCGCAAGGCGGAGCGCCTGATATGAGCTCCAAAACACAGAAACCAAGTTGGAGGAGACCATCATGAGCCAGAACACGAGACCGAGGAAGAGGTGGACGAGCGGGGCTGCGAGGTGGTCGGAGCTATACCGGTCCAGAGGCTTGAGCGACTTGGAGTACTCCGAGGGGAGGAGGAGGCCGCGTTTGGCCTTGCTGAGCTTGTTCGCTGCGCCGTCCATCATGTCGCGCAGGTCGTCGTAGTATGACGTCATGTACAGCTGGCTGATCACGAAGCCCTGTCCATCCGCGAGCGTATGGTGTCTACGGTATGCGAGTCAGCCTTCGAGCGGCAGGTATAGTTCACATTGATCTCTACTCACCCTCTTGCAATAACTGCACAAACGGCGCCGTCTTCGTCGTGGTAGTTCTCGACGAGGACTGCTTCGAACAACTGTGCGCTGAGGTCCCACGGCTCTGCGATGATTTCGCCAACCTGAGCAAGCTTGTCAGTGAACGATCCTTTGTGCATGATGCATATTTCACACCAATGCATCAAGTTCACGCTTTCCGGCGGGTTCTGGAAGGGTCTTGACGCGGATGTGGTCCAAAATGTTGAAATCCGGATCGTCGACAAACGTCGCGCCATGCAGCAGACGGCCGGTACCCTCCAGTCGCTGGCGATACCGAGGAAACTTCTCGCCCTGTTTCGTCAATTGGTCGGCCAACATCTCGAGCGTAACGCGATTCCGCAGCGTGAATATGGAGGTACACGCCTATTACGTCATTCTGTGAGCTCACCGAATACCACAACGGGAGGTTCGCGACTTACAGGGTTGAAGTCCGCCACGTCCGAGAGCATGACCCACATGTGGTCCACGCCCCCAATCGTGTTCTTCCGCTCCGCCGCCTCGCGCGCAATGACGCCGGTGACGCGCGACGCGACATCGCTGTACGGGCCGAGTTTGCGCAGCTTGTCGTCGATGTCCTCGGGCTCGGGCGGGTGGATGTCGTCCTCGCCGTAGTAGTACGACGCGGGCGTGTCGGGGCTGCCGTCGCCGACATGGAGGTGGCCGTTTGCCTTGAGCGCCATCGTGACGCGGCTAGAGTTTGAGAAGTGTGGCGAGTGCCGATGGGTGGGAGTGATCGCGGTTCCTGGACGCGTAGATGAACGTGTCAATGCTTGCTAGGGGGGCGCGGAGCGGCACACTCACCTTCCGCGGTGCTTGCGTGGCGTTGGGTGGTCGTGGTCGGAGGAAGAGGACGAGAAACGCTGAGAGGGTGAACTCCGATGGATCAGAGGGTGCAGAAGGCGTGGTGCGCCGGGAGTTGGTGGCACAGCTTTGGGCGAACTACGAGCAAGATAAACCTTTATCTACCCC